GACATGATTTATAATCTTTCATCACGAATACATTTTTTTCTAAAGTTAAATATAAAAAAAGTTTGGATCCCGTGAACCCCTTTTCAGCTGGCCAATTCTGATCATCACCGAATTATTCATTGTCTTTTGACCTTTAGAACAAGTGTACCAAGTTTGAAAGCTTTAGCTCAAAAACTATGGCTGCTACAGACATGCGGACAGATTTTTTCATAAAGTTATGATTTTTCATTATAATTCGTCAAGATTCGTCCAGAAATGCAATAAATGTATTTTAATTTTCTTCCGAAATTGTACCTTTTTTCTCCTTTCATTCATTATGTCTCTTCTGGTGGTACCACATTCACCAAATTTAATGTGTCACCTAAAATGTTGTTGACAATCTTAACTGCCCACTAGTATTTTTTGAGTTATCGCGGATACACAACACACACGCACGCACGCACGCACGCACGCACGCACGAATGTATGCTCGCACCGACAGATATCATTCGGAAAATAGTCAGAATGGATTCAGAAGGATTCAAAATGTATATATCACTCAAAATATTGAGGTCGAAAAAAATCACGATTACTATACTTCCTTATATTAGGTATAAGAAAGTAAAAACAATAAGATCACTCTTACGAATTACGATATTAATTAATTATGATATTATGAAATTTAAAATAAATGTTGGGTTTGCCAAAAATAAATATATACCTTTATCCAAAGAAAAAAAGACCCGACAATGAATTTTGAAGCACAATTTAATAAAATATGCTTAAGAGAATAAATTATAGTTTAAAAAACTAAAAAAAAACGCTTTAATAGCAAACCGAACTAAAAAGTAAAAAATAAGAAAGAAGTAATTGACAAAAAAAATTCATTTTATTGTAAAAGGCGTGGGGTGCCTTTTACTATATTTTTATGATAACTCTACTTTTATTAATAGCTACCAATAAAAAATATTTATAACAATTGATATTAAGCACCCCACGCTTTCTACAATAAAATGAATTTTTTTGTCAATCACTTTATTCTTATTTTTTTCTTTTTAGTTCGGTTTGCTATTAAAACGTATTTGTTAAGTTTTTTAAACTAAAATTTATTTTTTTCATTTTTTAGTCATGAAACGAAAACAAATGTAATAGAATTTTTGTCGAAATTTTTTTAATTAAATTTTTTTTCAAAATTTGTTGATTTGAATTTTTAATTTATTATTTTCTTTTTTCAAATTGTTGTATTGCTATTGTTGAATTGCTGTATATTTTGAAAAAACCAAAGAATTAAATGCTATAAAAAAACCATTCTTATCGTAAATTGGTAACTAGTTCATCTTGTATTTCAAGTATAATATGAGTTACGGTATTCAATTAGTGGTTAACTTTCTGCCAACTTATCATGGATGTGATATTTTGGCGAATGCGCCGATGACACAACGTACTTTAATGTGCTTTATGATATTTTGTAAATACATTAATCCGTTTTCCTGTGTTAAAATTTTAATTCACTACTTGCCGGATTCCATTGTTTTTTTTTTATTTAAATTTTTTATTTGAGTTAAAAAAAAATTCCACGTTTGTCCATAATTTTTGAGTATTCATTTTAAAGCTTTAAGTAAGTTGTTTAGGAGCATACCGTCACATTTTGCTTTTAACCGATTATTCGGTAGAAAAAAATATCAGATATCAGAAAAATAACAGATTTTACAAAATGTTATAATGTATTTTGTAAAAAAAAAGATTTGTAATACAAAACGTAATACAGAAGCGCCCAAGATTGAAAATGAACTTATAATAGAAGAAGACGACATCTTAGATGAAACCGACTATGAGGAACAACCTGCGGAACCGGGGTGCTCCATGAAATCTACTCTTTTCACAGGCAAGGATGGTACTGTATGGAGTGACGTGCCACAACCAAAGGCGCAAACCATTAGTCATAATATTTTTAGGGGTAAAATGGATGCGGCGGCGATAAGTTCTTTAAATACACCCAAACGAAATATTTACACCAATTGTCTCCAGTGAAATGTGTTCAATAATTCTACAAGAAACTAATAGAAAAGACCAACAGATAACAGAAAATTACAACAGACAAGTTTTACAAAATCAGCAAGGTTACAGCAAAAAACCAACCTCGTCTAAAAGATTTTAAGTCATTTACTCAAGAGGAATTGGATACATTTTTAGGAATCCTTATAGCTGCTGGCGTTCATAAGTCAAACAAAGAACATATTACCGAAATGTGGAGATGCGATTCCTTGCCTCTTATTCGAGCAGCGATGTCTCGTGAGCGATTCAAAATGTTTCTACGCTTTTTACGGTTTGATAATCAAAATACTCTTACTGAACGTAGCAAGACAGACAAAACTGCTCCTATTCGTGACATTTGGTTGATGCTATATAGCAACTCGGAAAGAAATTATAAGCCAAAAGAATGCATAACGGTTGATGAACAACTGTTTCTCTTTTGAGGACACAAAATTTACCCAGTATATTCCCTCAAAACCGGCCAAGTATGGAATAAAAATTTTTTTTAGGCATGCGAAGCTTCTAATGGTTATCCTCTGCAAGGTCAACTTTATACAGGTAAACCACCTGATGGTGAACGCCAAAAAATATTGGGGAAATAACTGTTTTAAACTTGGTTGCAAATTACAAAACTCTGAAATAAATATAACAACAGACAATTTCTTCACAAGCCTTCAATTAGCACGCACTCTCAAACTCCTGAAACTTGACATTGATTGGTACTGTTCGGAAAAACAAAGTATTTCTTCCCCTCAACATGCAGGCCTCCAAGGAAAGATCTATAAATTCTACTAACTTTGCATACAGTAACTATACAACTTTATGCTTATATGTACCCAAAAAAATAAGTCGGTCGTACTTCTATCATCAATGCATATGACAGGAGAAGTCGAAAAGACTGAGATTGATAAACCTGAAATAATAAAATATTAATAACAAAACAAAGGGCGGTGTTGATGTTATGTACAAAATGTTGGTGGAATACACTGTGAAACAACGAACAAACCGCTGGCCGTTAGCCTTTTTCTTCAACATGATTGAAGTTGCAGGTTTGGCATCATACATTATCTACATGGAACATAACACAAATTAGGTCAACTAATCGGAGAAGAAAATATCTCAAAAATTTTGCGATTGAGTTGTGTATGCCTGCCATTATAACACGAAGCAATATTCCCAAAGTGATATGAAATAACTTTACACGAAACTCAATTGAATTGGCTCTGGGTCGTCAAATTACAGAACCCATCAATGTGACATAAAGAGAGCAGCTAAACAGGGATACGTCTGGACGTATCCAGTGTGTTGGATATTGTCATGTTTGTCGAATGACTACACGAAAACAAAGAAAAATGCGAAAAGCATGCAGTTCTTGCACAAAACCTGTTTACAACGAACATTGGGTAACTAAAGCTGTGTGTGATTTGTGCAAGAATATAACGAATTAGTTTTCATTTTTATTATTTTTTGTTTGTTCATTTCAATCAAAAACGTTTATATACTATTATTGAACTTTGCATTATCCTTTTCAATAAAAAAACTTCTATATACTTTTTGCTTCATTTTTTGTGTATTAGTACCTGAATACTATTTCCGTCACTAAAAGGTGTAAAGTTTTAAATATTTTTTCTATAAAACCAGAGGTAAAAATAAATTGAAATATGCAAAAATCTATTAAAAAGAGATATTTCAAGATGTCACGGCGATGCGTGCTCCAAAATTAATAAAAAAAAAAAGTATCTGACATTAAAAACGGAATTAGTACCCGGGTACTATCATATAAAGGTTAAGAAATCACGGCTAACTGAAGTTCTTGAGATTTTCTAAAATTACTAAAATTTTGTGATTTTTCTTTTTGGCTGCAGTCAAGAAATCTATGGTCAGACAAGTTTTGCATTATTAGCACACTTTTTGGAGACTAATATATTGGACTAGAAACGAATGCTCGATCGTCTTATGTTTTCGAGATATCCAAGGTAACTTTTGTTTTTCTTATGACAGCCATATTGGATTTTTTGTTTTTCATATTACGCTTAAGAAGAGCTTTCAGATGATGTATCACATGCCGAGGAAAAATTGTTTTTCAAGGGACTAATTTAAGAAAAGTTATCCGTCACTTAATAAAACAAAATAGTAGGTCACGGAAAATCAAAAAGTTTTTGTAAAGTCAGAGATGTTGCTTATTCAGACGGTGACTAATTATTATCTATGTATTTAAAATCTACTGTAAATTTCTGTGATTATTGCAAAATGGCGCACAAATTCTCGAATGAAAAAAAATTTTATATATTAGAATGACATTTAAAAATAAATAGAAATTCGTAAAACGCATCGACTTCCTATCTAAAAACATTTCTGGAGAGAATGCAACCACATAGAACAGTTTTGGAAAGAATTGTAAACAAAAGGGAGTTTTGATAATAAAAGACACCGGTATGATTGATATTGTTGACCGCACAAATAATATTCTCGAAGCTGTTAACAATAATCTTCGCATATCAGTGCCACAAAGTGCAGGCGAAACAAATATTCCTAAGACAATTATATACAAGACATTAAAACAAAGGATATGTCATCCATACAAACCTATGATTCTCCAAACTTTAAACAATAATGATATTGGTAGAAGACTAGAATTTTGTCGTTGGTTTACTCAGAAATGCGAAGAATAACCTGATTTTCAATCGAGAGTTATATGGACCGATGAAAGTCGTTTTACAAATTGTGGAGTCTTTAACAAGTACAATTATCACCACTGGGCCACAGAAAGTCCGCATATAGCTACGCAAAGAAGATTCAAAACTAGGTTTGGATTCAATGTTTGGTGCGACATAATAATAATAATAATAATGAACACCAGAGATAATACAACCCCCTGTATCTCTAAACTGACGTTGTGCGAGAGGGAGCTACACATTTAGAGACAACAGACACACATTTAATATTCGAGTATACTACGATTAATCTCTCTCACAGAAAAATCCCAGTGCCAAGGCCGGCATTCGAACCCGGGCCTTTTGAGTGTGAGTCAAGTGTTCTTGCCTCTCGACCATCAGTCATACATCATAGGTATTATCTTTTCTCTTCCTATTCTACTCCTATCATCTGTCTATAACCCTTACCTTAATTATTATTTTTAGATCGCCATTTAATTGGTCCATTTATTTTTCAAAACAATTTAACGGGAGCAGCTTATCGCGAACTTCTAAAAAATCATGTTTCACCCGTGATCAGACAGCTTTTTACAGAACAAGAAATAAACGAATTGTGGTTCCAACAAGATGGCTGTCCTGCACATAACACTAATAATGTTGAACGGATATTGCAGGAAAATTTTTGTAACCGCAGAATTTCAAATAGAGGACCTGTATTGTGGTCTTTCCGGTCGCCTGATATAACCCCACCTGACTTTTACTTTTGAGGTGCTGTGGAAAATCAAGTGCATGATTTTGAAAGCCCGGAAACTATCGATAATTTGGAAGACAGAGTTAGAGACATTTTCGGCACAATAAATGCCAATAGAAGATAATCAGCTCAGTTAGGCGTCGATGCCAAAAATGTATTCAGATAAATGGAGATCATATTGAACAGTTTTATTAAATCTTCTTACTTCTTTACTATCATTTATTCTAATATGTTAATTTGTTGTTATTAAAAAATTGTCTCCATATCGATTACGTGTGTTCAGTATTTTAACAGAAAATTAAAATTATTTAAACATGTCAAACTGGTAACCTTAATATTACTGTTATTTTTTATAATGGTTATATCCATGAAATCAAAATAAATTTTTGATTTTCCATGGCCTACTATTTTGTCTTGTTAAGTAATGCACAACTTTTCTTAAATTAGTCCTGTGAAAAACAATTTTTCCACAGCATGTGATACATCATTTAAAAGCTCTTTTTTAAGAGCAATTTGAAAAATGAAAAATCCAATATGGCTGCAATAAGAAAAACAAATATTACGTCGTATATCTCGAGAACCAAAAAATATCGAACATTCGTTTCAACACCAACATATTAGTTTCCAAAAAAGTCTTCTAATAATGTAAAATTCTAAAACCTGTCTGACCAACGATTACTTGGCTACAGCTCAAAAGATAAATAACAAAATTTTTGTGGAAAATCCCAAAAACGGTTTCAATTAGTGGTGATTTCTTAATGGAATTGGAGTCAGCATAAAATTTGCTAAAACTTATCCCATTTAGCCGTCCTTGTGGCTCTTATAGTTTCCGAGACCGCAATGGTGAGCATCGAATTTGGGACACACGGTATACTGGGAGCTCTATCCATTTAGGGAACACCACATTTTATTATTAACTTGAATCTCATTAACAAAAAATTCTATAACTGTTAAATGACGCCTTAAAATTAACCCAGTTTTTACCTCCAATAAAAGCAATGAAACGTTCCTTGTTCGAATCAATGGATTAACTGTGGATGAATAAACCTAAGACTGATTTTGTTACAGAAATTAATTAAACTGTCGTTTAAACAACTGATGTGGCTGAAATTTCTCTAACCAACAGCGTTGAAAATCTTTTCCATTTGTCTGGCATTTATGTAGTGGAAACATTGATGTATTTTTATTTCGTTAACAAAAAATTATGATTATGCCTAAAAAGTAGTTCTCAAAGAAATGATAAACTTCCCATTGAAATGAAAGTTAATTGACTGATAACCCTTGCCATTGTGGAACTTTCAGTCTAGTAGGTTTAACAACTGATGAAACAATTTCTCTCCTGTCTCATCTTTTTTTAAGTCCTATATACTGTTTTTGCTGTAGAAGTAATTTATAAGAAGAAAAAAAATGTTATAAAGTTTATGAAAGGCAAATTGTAGTATTAATTTGGAGTTTAGTATATTTGGGTGGTCAACTTTCTATTTCTTGTGTCTTTCTTTGTAAATATACACCAACATGATAGTAATTTATGACAGAAGGACGAGAAATGTAGTTCGGCAACAGTATGAGTGTGGTAAACATTTTCGTTCGTGTGTCATACACTATTATTTCTTAATCGATTCTAAGAAGAGAATGATAAATTTTTATTTACTTGTTTTAACTGAAAAACTGATCATTAGACCACGTTACTTTGATATATTCTAATAAGAGAATCATGACAGTTTGTTTCTTTTGTTTATGATATCCATTACATTGTTCATAATTGTTTACCGTCCGAAAAGTACTTTTCATTCTAGGACGAAAAGTAATTTTTCTATAACCGAGCGAAAAGTGTAACTTTGCGCTTCCAAAAGAAAGCGCAAAGTTGCACTTTTCCGAGGAGCGATCGCTTTTTTACTTTGTCGCTCGCCGAGCAACAAAGTAAACGCTTAGTTACCATAGAAACCATAATAAAGAAACGTCTAGTGTATCTGCGACTTTTGACATAAAAGTAGGCTTAAAGTATTACATATATGACATCAAACACAGACATTTAATACCCTTTAATTCTTCGCTTTTCTTTTCACCACTGAAGAAGGAGGAAGTGTTAGAAGAATTCCAAAAACATTTAGATTCTGTTATACATACATATAAATCATATGATAGTATTTAAATAAATAATTAATTTTTTATCTTATTTTGCAGTAAATACCATTTTAACAAACATTTCTACAAAAACATGTGTAGCGCAAATTGATGCTCACGTTTTGAAATCTGAACTGTCAAATTTGAGGTTATCAATAATCATTAATTTTTACCAAACATTTTTATAAAACACCGGTTGTAGAAAAAATCCCGTGTGTTATTCAAGTGCAAAGTGACATTGTCTCTCTTGCGAGATAGCTGCGCTCCGCTACGCGTCGCGCATCAAACTTCTCGCTCAGAGCGACAATATATCACTTTGTACTCTTAATACACAAATAGCTATCTTACTGGGAATAGTATATCTAGCAACAACAACAAAGAGTAATATTTATTATAAAAAGGTGATCTATTCGTCCAGATAATCGACCCAAAAAACGTCACTTTTCTATATAATCAAATGAAAAAAATGATAATAGGTGGATCTTTTAATGAACTCAAGTAGCGGACAGTGGTTTAAAGACGGTTAATTTTGGCCAAAATATACAAAACGATAAAGATTTACTATTTTGACTGAAGAAAGATATTATTTTGGATGAAAATAAAATATTCTATAATTATACCAAATATTAATGAAATTATTAACTCTCGTAGGTATACGGAAAATATACATTTTATAAATTATTATTTTTTTTTCCAATTGTATTTTCCACTCAACAAATTTACCAAAAAACTTTCTAGACGGTTGCTGAAGGAATATATAAATATATAAATACACAGAATAATATATTTATTAATTTTTTTACATAATACGCAAAATAAATTTGATGTCAAATCTAGTAAAAAAATAAACATAATAACAAGATTAAAAAGTGAAATTTGAGTCCTTGAAAAATCTTCTACAGATTAAAATTGTTGAAACCAGGACAATAGGTTAAAGTAAAACGCTACCTTGCTCACGTTTCGTTTAATATGCTTAAACTTCTTCAGGGCTCAATAGCCAAATAATGATGTAAAAATTCGACACCAGAAAAAAAAAATTTTAAACCACGTCTGTAGGCATAACAGTTACAAGACCAATTGACTTTCAAATTGATTGGTCTTGTAATTGTTATGCCTACAGACGTGGTTTAAAAAAAATTCTGTTGTGGAATTTTTACATCATTATTTGGCCTGAAGAAGTTTAAGCATATTTAACGAAACATAGTCAAGGTAGAGTTTTATTTTAATCTATTATCCTGGTTCCGACAATTTCAACACGTAGAATAACAAGATTAGTAAAAATATAAAGTTTATGTTCTGATGCATTATCTTCGTCTTTATCATCTTCATCAAAATCGCTTTCTGTCTACTTTTCTCTTCTCGATGGTCTTGCTTCAACTAAAAGTTTCATTAATTGATCATATACTGAAAATTTCTTTTTTTTTTTCTGTAAACTTCTAAGACTTTTAATGTATGGATTAGAACTCACTAAAAGTCAAGATTCGTTTTAATTTTCGAAATTTCTATATAATTTGAGATCATTGTTGCAGGATTCCTGGTCGACCTCGAGCTTGATGAGTTGATGTCGATCTTTCCAAAAAATTCTTAGTGTTTTCTTAAAGCATACTATTCAACAATGTTTTATTTGATGCAAGAAATCTCAAATTTTGTCTCCCAGATTGTTTCCATTTTGATGCGAATTTCAAGCAAATATCACGAATTTTTTCGAGAAGTGCTCTTCGTTCTGCTTTATTGACATCTTCTGGAATGCCCATAATTTCACAGACTTTTTTTGAGGAACAATACGCGTTTTGTATACAAATCTTTTTTTTTTAGAAAATACATTATAACATTTTGTAAAATCTGCTAATTTTCTGATATCTGATATTTTTTTTTAACGAAAATCGGTTAAAAGCAAAATGTGAAGGTATGCTCCTAAACAACTTACTTGAAGCTTTAAAATGAATACTCAAAAATTATGGACAAACGTGAACAATTTTTATAACTCAAATAAAAAATTTAAATAAAAAAAACAATGGATTCCTGCAAGTAGTGAATTAAAATTTTAACACAGGAAAACAGATTAATGTATTTACAAAATATCATAAACACATTAAAATACATACCTTCAGCTTCCTTTTGATTTGTTATTCAATTACTTGCACATCCATAATTCCGAGAAATGCAACAAAAGGGAAAAGTATCATTTTACCACTAATTGTACAACAGAAAACAGTTAAAGATCTTCGTGGTTTAAAGGCTTATACGTGATTGAATAAATTTTTATAGTGGCAAATATTTACATATCTGAGTACTGTAATTATCCTAATAGCATTTCCATATAAATCGGTTTGATCACTGGAAGGTTGTTTTTATTTCATTTTCGGCCAAAATTAATTGTTTTTGAACCACTGTGTAGCATCTTGACCAGAATACTTCTTAAGGTATGTTTACGCAAGAAAAAGTCAAGCCAAATTATCGGATAATGTGGGCATAATTTCTAGATGCAGTCTTCCCCAATAGATGGATTGGTAGGAGGGGACCTA